TTTGCACGAAATTTGATACAGAACAATGAATTAGGCCTAGAATGATATGTGTTAAGTTTCCTGAAAATCGGTTCAAATTTACATATAGCTCCTATATATATTTTCGTCCGATTTAAGCTAAATGGTGTACCAAAGTCCCTTAATATCTTTCGGTTTGCACGAAATTTTGCACAGCGTAATGAATTAGGTCTAGAATGATTTGTTTTAAGTTTCATGAAATCGGGTCAGATTTAGACATAGCTTCTATATCAGACCAAATGAAAAATTCAGTATCGCTTGCAGAATGACATGTTTATGTGGCAGATTGACATTTCAAAGTGGTGAAGGGTTTCATATAGTCGGTCCCGTCGACTTTACTACTTTCCTTACTGGTTGTAAATCACAACGGGTCGTTTTAAACGTTATACTATTACAACGTTGGACAAAGTATGACCAGATATGTAGTATATATCAAGGAAAAATTCTAGAACTATTTATGCATATCTGTCTGTCTGTTCCATTCACGTTAACCTACAATCTGTGAAAAAATATCAATCAACAGTCAATTAGGTTGAAAAAAAGTGTTCAAACCCTCAGGGATTTCCGAGAAACATGATCATGCTTTGGAAAAAAGTAAGTCCGTTTTGTTTGCAGTCCGGTCAAACATTTACATTTTTTTCGAAGGTAGTATGATTCGACAGAAATATTAACTTCCATTTATAGTTTTAGAATTTTACCTTGATCACGGAAATATATACTTTGTAGGGTTTGAAATAATTATTTTGATGACAAATAAAAATGAATAAAATAATAAAACGGAATGACAAAATTAATATATCCTCAATACTGTGGTATTGCATAAAAATGTTATTAAGAGAAGTTAAAACCAGTAAGGAAAGTAGTAAAGTCGGACGGGGCCGATTTTATGATACCCTTCACCACTTTGGGTATATTCAACAGATGAACTACAGTTCATTGTACAAAATTGTGTGACAATCGCACAAAATTTGGGACTTTAGTGCACAATTTACATAAAATCGGAAGAAAAGATATATAGGAGCTATATCTAAATCTGAACCGATTTTCACGCCACTTAACACACATCATTCTAGAACTAATTAATTACGCTATGTCGTGCAAATCGAAGGAAATATATTGACTTTGGGCACCACTTACATTAAATCGGACGAAAATATATATGTTAGCTATATCTGAATCTGGACCTATTTTAAGGAAAGTTAACACACAACATTCTAGAACAAATTCAGTACGCTGTACCAAATTTCGTTTAAATCGAAAGATATATAAGGACTTTGGGTCACCATTTACATTAAATCGGACGAAAATATATATGGGAGCTATATCTAAATCTGGACCGATTTTCAGGAAACTTGACACACATCAGTCTAGACCTAATTCATTACGCTATTCCAAATTTCGTACAAATCGAAAGATATATAGGGACTTTGGTACACCATTTACATGAAATCGGACGAAACTATATATGGGAGCTATATCTAAATCTGGACCGATTTTCACGAAACTTGGCAGACATAACTCTATGCTCAATTCAGTACGTTATACCAAATTTCGTGCAAGTCGAAGGACATATAGGGTCTTTTGTGCACCATTTACCCTAAATCGGACGAAATATATATGGGAGCCATATCTGAACCGATTTTTCCCAATTTCAATAGGATTCGTCCTTGGGCCAAACAAATGAGCTGTGCCAAATTTCATCCAAATCGGATTATAAATGCGACCTGTACTTTGTTTACAATTTAACACCAACAGACGTCCGTCCGTCTGTTGGTGTTAAATTGTAAACAAAAGGACATGCATAAATCGACTCAGAAAGTCATTCTATGCATATTCTCAAATGGAACTATGGGTCTATCTCGTTTCCTTTTGCCTGTTACAAACATATGTACAAAGACATAATACCCTGTACCACAGTGTGGTGAAGGATATAAAAAGTCGGTTGAAAATCATATTTGGAAATCCACAAAATACCAAAAAGGGCTAAACATGATTTTCAGATACTGATGCATGAAATAAAGGGTCGCCAGCAAAATTTACATAACTCTATAACTCGACATTGGATATCGGAACTTCTGGGTTCTAAATTTACACACGTGGACTTTTTTTGGTGTAAATGGTTTAAACAGTTATTTGGCTGTTACAGCATTAGAACCATAAAAAACATTCACAACTGAATGCACCAAACAAAAAACAGCAAAATATTTTTTTTTTTACTGCGAAATGCCACCCTTCCAAGGAGAATAAATCTGAAATTGTTTGATCTGTACTTTACGAGAAATCTATCAATACAGCCAAGTGCCGGAAAAATAATGGATTTCTTTTTCCCCAACCTAATATATTAACAGAATAGTACAAAATGAATTGCTTTCCTATTTGTAAAAATCGGTTCAAAATTTATCTATGGGCATACAGACGTATGCAACATAGTTGTATAGAGTATAAAAACTTATCATATGCATACCCATAACCAATTGTTCTATTGCTTTGGTTTGGGTTATTCATACATACATATGTTGTTGTAGTTGTGCGACACGCCCATTTATCGAATTCATTGCTTTTTCTTAATGGTACGTTGTTGATACGCTTGAATTGTTTGAAGGTGTAAACAGACATACTCGATCTAAAGTTGTTGCTGCCTCCGGATATATTTTAATTTTATGACGTCTATTTTAATTATTATTGGTTCCATCGAACCATATTCATATTAGAGAGTATGATTCAGTAGCTTGAGCCTCTTCTGAGCAATTCTTCAATATGTGTAACGACATTTGGATTTGAGACACAGTAACAATAAACAATTTGACGGTGTAACAACTAACGGTTCCTTAGAAGAATTTACGTTTTGTGATTTAATATTTTTTCAAAGAAAGGTAAGTCCATCAAAAGTGAAAATATCATTGAATCGGTCATTAAATATCCTTTCCATTACTAAAATAATTCGCACTAAAGACTAGGACGAACATTATAATTAATTTTTGGCAAAACGCAATAATTGATTTGTGTTGAAAAAAAATTCAAATTATGTGCTTCATTAAAATGATGTATAGTCAGGGTTTCTTTGAACTAAACCCATTTCAGAATTAATTAGTGTTCTAATGTTAATCTGGGGCGAAGGATAATTTTCGAATAACCGATCTGCACAACTTTTTAACCCCTTCACAACATAATATTGGGCATTCCGTTTGTAACTCATCGAAATACTCATTTCCAACGATATATCCATGTCCGTTTGTCAGTTGTAATCACGTTATCTTACAAAGGTGCTAAAGTTTTGCATAGTGTTTTGTTTTTCAAGCATATCAACATTGAAGATGTGATATATCGGTTCCCGTTTAGACAAAATTTTGGGTAATTTGTTTAGGCACAATGTTGGGTAAATAACATGCAATTAAAATGAAAATGTGTCCATTTCAATTGAATTGCATGTTATTTTATATTTTGTTTTTCTATTTGATGACAAATCTCCCTACCAAAAATTATTAGCGAGAGTTTTCAATATTTTGTATATTTGGAACAGAACTGGCTAAATGTTGGTATTTATAACCTACACAACTATGTTGTCAGGGTATTATAGCTTTGTGCAGCCCCAAGTGTTTGTAAAGCCGCGAAATATTGAGTCGATATAGGCATGTGTGTCCGTCCGTCTGTCCATTATAATTTGTAAACACGATACAGGCTACAGTTATGGACCAATCTTCACGAAATTTTGCATGTAGGATGAGTTCTGCCCAATGAAGACCCCTATTGCTTTCAGTAGAGATCGGTTAATATTTAGGGGATGAAATGGACCACAAACTTAATTTTTGTCGACTTTTCTGGTCGCTCCAGAGGCCGCGATTATGGCCCAAACGTCGCGAATTTTTACGTGGAGATGGGGATCGCACCACAGAATAAACATGCCTGTTTTGATAAAGATCGGTCAATATTTAGCGAGTCAAATGGATCCTGACTTTTGTGTGAAAAATTACAAAATTTGTATACTACAGCGTATATATTTACTCCTGAAGGACATAGACCCGAGAATTGATATCAATTTTATTTTTGTATGTACTCGGATGTGAGAGTTACACTTAAATATTTACAGGTACCCACATATTCAGATATTATTTAGTAACCCACTACTACACTAGAGCACGGAAATATAGCACTGATAGCTTTGAAATGTTCCATGAGGTTCCAGTTATGGTCAAGGACAACGCCAATAATTTTCGGCGATGATCAGATAATTTTGGAATGAAGTGGACCGACAACTTAATTTTTTGTGCTTTTTCGAGTCGATCTATAAGCCACAATTGAAAGCCGTACATCACAACTCAACCTACGGTGAAGGGAATCTGGACAATTAGAAGGGCTGTACTGAATATTGGGAATATTCGGAAAATAGGTCAGTGTAAGGAAGAGGTGCTGTTGATATCTAATCGGTCAAGACGCTGCAAATATCACGAAATATTGTTCAGGCTCGAAATAAAGATTTCCAGATAGTTAGAGTTCCGTGGCAGTTGTGTAGGGTATCGTATGGTCGGCCCTGTCCGACTATACTGCTCCGCTCACTGGTTTGGATTTATATCTGATATTTTTGATTTCATTATTACGATATTGGCTTGGGCCACATTTTAGGCTCTTGTTGTCATTTGTGAGATGATAATATAAATACTAGACCATTTTTTTTATCAAATGTGTGATATTTTAACATAGCTCTGCTCTGTAAAGATAATTGTAGATATCAAATGTTCTTATTCCTTGCGTGTCTAACATCCTCGACATGAAAAATGTTCATGGTACTATGTGCTACAACCTTTTATTGTCTGAGTAGTAGGCATTTACATATTTTGAAATCAGTTTCCATTAAAAATTAAATTATTATTTTTTTATAAATTGCCAGAAAGTCTCCCCAAAATTTCCGTACCAAATTCAGCAAAAGTAAATAAATATAACGTAATATTTGCAATAATTAACAATATTTGCATTATGTGATTTCAGATGAGTTTTCGTGACGATTTTTATTCAAAGGAGGCAACGCTTATGAATCGCGCCAGGCGGGAATTAGCCAATGGTCTGGAGAAACATCCAATCGACAAGTTGAGATTGAAGTGCTTCACTCGTGGCTGCAATTCCATACTAAGTTTGTCTAGGTAATTTGTTAATTCACCACAGAAATTGCAATATTTTACAAGTATTTGCTTTAGGTGCCTTCGAAATATGGAAAACGAGGAAAACAAAGCATTAAGTTTTGATGATTTTAAAGCAGCAATGCGACAAAGTGGTTTGGATTCTACCGAAGAGGAACTGAAAAATCTCTTTTGTTGCTTTGATGGAGAAACTTGCGGTACCATAAATGCCAAGGAGTTTATATCTAAACTGAGGGTAAGAGGCAAAAATATAAATAATTTCGACTTAATAAACATTTGATTCCAAAATAATAGCCCCCTTTGACTCGTTCCCGTTTGGATGTCATTGAAAAAGCTTTTGCGAAGGCTGACGCCTCTGGCGATGGAGTTATAACAGTGAAAGATCTGAAAAGTATCTACAATGTCAAAGATCACCCCAAGTATTTGAGCGGTGAATATACGGAACAACAAATACTTTCAGAATTTCTTAGTAATTTTAATGGCAACACTGGTAATTTGAATGCCAAAATTTTTAAAGAAGATTTCATCAATTACTATGCAAGTGTTAGTGCCTCCATCGATAACGATGCCTACTTTGATTTGGTTATGCGTCGAGCATATAAACTATAAAATGCATATCGACTTTTCAAAGTTGAAAATATATTTGTTGCATTCGTTATACGTTATGAGAATCAACGGCAAAATAAATTGTTGAAATCGCTAATAAAGTATATACTATTGACGTTGAAATCATTTTCTTTAACAATTGCATTTTTTATTGGTTTCAATTGTTATACAGTGCAGCTCAAAACATTTGCAACTAGAACTACTATGGAATAAAATGAGGCGAACTTTTAAAAAAAATCTTTAATAAGTAATCTTTCTAAATTTTATGGGGAAAAGATAATATATTTCAATATATTGCTGTTATTTTTCCAATATTATAAAAAAAACGTGTTTTGGTATGCCCAAAACAGTTGCAACTACCTAATACCCATTATATAGTACTATTTCGAGAGTTTTATAACTTTAGAAAAAATCGACTAAAAATGGAATATCTTGACGTAAATAAAGAACAACAGAACGCTATTATTTAGTTGATTGCATAATTTCGTAACAAACTTGTCGCTGTGGGCCTAAGTGCTATTTTTCTGAAAAAGTCGATAGAGTTGGTGGCGATAAATATAATGAGCACATTAAAAACACAATAATTATCGACGATTTTAAAAAAGGTGTAACAAAGAGAGAAATATCACGAAAGTATAATGTCAATAAATCAACAGTATCCCGTGTCATAAAAAGTGGAAACGCCAAAACAGTACATAGATGAGGAAGAAAACGTACGACTACACCAAAAGTAGATCGGAATTTAAAGATAATTATCCAGCGATTCCCTCTTATAACACACACAGAAATAAAAAACACTTCACGCAGGTAAGGTAGGTAATTTGTTTTTGAGCAAAAATTAATAACAGTGGTGTTAAACGATTTTTTGACTTTTTAAATGATTTATATGTGCAAGAAAGAGAAACCGCAGATTTCTACAGTATAAACTGGATATAACACACAACGGTTATAAGCAACTACACATATAACGAACAAAACTAATTCTTTCTCAGATATTTTCATTAGTTTTCTTACACAACAAAGGGTTAAAAACGATTAGGGAAGTAAGTTAAACACAATTTCGACCCCGTGATTAGATTTTTAAAGGTGAAACGGATAAACTCTGTTTTTGTTCAAATATGATTTGCTATAGTATAAACGCATACATTTTATTAATCATTTATTTAAATATTTGAAATTAGCGGTATACTATGTAAATATTTTGTAAATAGTACTATAAACTACATCTCTGAATCTCATACATTATTACACAACCAATACTAGACGAGGATCTTGCTTCTCATAAGTAGTGCCTAAGCTCAATCAAATTTCAATTAAATCGCTTCACTCCGAGTCCGGACCCCTCGACTCTAATTCGTTTAAGCGAGCACTGAAGGCTTAAGATCATTACCCACGCTGGCCCAAGTTGATGGACTAGATAATAAGCTGGAAGTAGTTCCTAAACAAGGAGTAGCCAAGATTTTTGTAAATCTTGTTGTTTCGAGTTTCTTCACTTGTGCCCAACGTGGGGCCGGCTTTAGAGTCTAAAAGCAACCATAGAGTCAAGAGTCAGCGGCATAATTTTTCGCCGGCGTGAAAACCAAACGAAAGTGTCAGAGTCTAAACGCAACCATAGAGTCTAGAGTCAGCGACAGTCGTTTGCCATGTGTTTCTTATTGGCAACGGGAAATCGCGACGGCTGACGTTCGCAGTGCTGTTAAAAAAACAATATTTTCAAAGATTGCGGACGTTTTTTAACGAATTAATAATAAAATGGAAGAAAAATAATTTTTTCAATAATTTTCCCCAAGTTCCTTGACATTATTGTTTATTAAATAATAAATTGATTTTGGTTTGCACAATGTATAATTTCCTGTCAGAAAATGAAAACAAATAATTGACATTTTGTGCCGCTAGCCGCTAACTCTTTCGTTTGGTTTTCACGCCGGCGAAAAAGTATGACACTGACTCGTGACTCTCTGGTTGCGTTTAGAGTCTTAGCGTTAGCGGCACAAAATGTCAGTTATTTGTTTTCATGTTCTGACAGACAATTTTACGTTGTGCAAATCAAATTCAATTTATTATTTAATAACTGCTGTTTTTTTCCTATAATATGACAACTCAATTGAGAGCAAAATAGAATATTTGAGTATGACGCTGAGCAAACATGGATAAAATCTATTCTAGAGTCAAGCCGCTAGACGCGAACGTCAGCCGACACGATTTTCCGTTGTCAATAAGAAATACACGGTAAACGACCGTCGCTGACTCTAGACGCTCTGGTTGCGTTTAGACTCTTATTGACAATGACTCCAAGCACACCTCTAAGGTGGTAAAACAATTGATATCCAATGAAAAATTGTGTGTGCTTGATTGGCCGGCTCAGTCACCTGACCTAAATCCCATAGAGAACCTTTGGGAAATCAAATTTTCAAAAAAAAAAAAAAAAAATCTCGAGGATCTCAACGTTGCCAAGAAAGGTCAGTGGAATGACATCCCAAAAGATATTGTTGATCACTTAATCCAGCCCATGCCAAGAAGATGTGCTGAAGTTATTAAAGGAGATGATATCGATTACTAGAAGAAATAGATTTTTTAAAATATAGGAGTCACGTAGCACAGAAATATATGCATTTTTATATTATTTTGTATGTTTTCGACAAATTTTTGTTGATATGAAATGTATGTTCTATAAACCTTAAAAACGATCAAATAAAGAATATTTTTGCATTAAAAACATTATTTCAAAAATTGTAATTTCAATATAATTACATGGTTTTTCCCGCAGATGACTTGGTTGCAAATGTTTTGAGCAGTACTGTATATCAGTTGCCTATGTTCTGAACTAAGATGTTAGGTTTGTATTGCAAAGGTGATATGTAATTTTTAATAACTCGCTAAACCGGACAATTGATTTTAGATACCAATACGGATTGCCAAATTTTTCGGATTATCATAAAATGGTTAAAATTATTTTTTTTAATTATTTCGCGTATTTTTATTAATAAACTAGCAAATTGCCCGCTACTTCGTATGCGGAAAGGGAATACAAAAAATATTTCATATGGTATCGTAAATACTGTAAATTTGTTGTACTATAGTTTGCGATTTAGTACTCTTCATATACATAAGCACTATTTTCCGAAATCTCTCTTACTTCCATTAAATAGAATAAAACCAGTAAGGAAAGTAGTAAAGTACCCCATGCAGAATTTAGTGCAAGTCGAAAGATATATATGGACTTTGGTACACCATTTACATTAAATCGGACGATGTTATATATGGGAGCTTTATCTAAATCGGAACCGATTTTCACGATGTTTAACACACATCGTTTTAGACGTAATTCAGCCCGCTGTGCCTAACTTCGTGTAAATCGAAGTTTGGTGCACTATTTACCTAAAATCGGACTAAAATATATATGGGAACTATAACTAAATTTGAACAGATTTTTCCCAATTTCAATAGGGTTCGTCCTTGGGCCAAATATGTGACGTATGCCAAATTTCATCCAATTCGGATCATAAATGCGACCTGTACTTTGTTTTCAATTTAACATGGACAGACAGACGAACGGACGGACATGCATAAATGGACATAGAATGTGATTCTATGCATATAATGTGATTCCGTTGCCGAAATCGAAATTTAGTGCATTTGCTAGTCTATTTACTATTCGTACAAATCAATTCGAGTTTCCATAGTTATCTCTATAGCTAAATACTGCACTTCAACAGTAATCTAAATTCCAAATCGCAGGATCCAACCAAATCCAAATGGTTCCAAATATAGTACGCTCATACTTATAAGTAAGAATTTCTAAAACTACATCAATCTTACTCTCCAACAGTAATCTTAATTCTACCAAAGTCCAAATTTAGTACTTTTCGTACTCATAAGTACGAATTTCCAAATATACCTCAACCCTTATTTCAAATAGTAATCGTAAGCCAAATTTTAAGAATTCCAGCTCTGTCTATTCATCGAAAACCAAATAGTACCAGATTTGGTATCATTCTGTACTTTTCGTACCCATATTCCAAACTTTATCAAATCTACACTCCCGCAGTAACCTAAGTTGCAACTTTCGGGATTCGAATTCCAACCGTTCACCAATGTCCAATTTGTACCAAATTTTGTGCTTTTCGTAACCATAAGTACGAATTTCCAAAACTACCCCAGTCATGTTCTCCAATAATAACCTTTGGTCCACATTTAAGTAATTTTCAGGATCCCATCCCTATCCGTTCACACAAATACAAATTGGAGCATATTTAGTACCATTTAGTACTTTTCGTACTTTAAGTTTGAATTTTCAACACTGTCTCAATCTAACAGTAGTTTTATTTTCAAATATAAGTTTTTTATCTCAATCTAAATGAACTTAGTACCATTTAATACACATAATCATGCATTTTCAAAACTACTTCCATATCTCAATCCTACACTCCACCCTTAATTTTGATTCCAAATTTTAGGGTTCCCACTCACACAAAACAATTGTACCCTATTTAGTACCATTTAGTGCATCTCGTATCCAAGAATATGAAATTCCAATACTACCTTAAATCTGTGCTTTGCATTCTACATTTAACTTTTTCATCTCTATCCATTCACTCTGATCTAAACTGTACCAAATTTAGTACCATTTAGTACACGAAATGACAAACTTTCAAAACTACCGACATATTTCAAGCCTGCTCTCCAACAGTAATATTAATTTAATCAAAATTTCAGGATCTCAACCCTATCCATTGGTACCATTTAGTACTTTTTGTTTCTATAATTGAACTAAGTCAATCCTACAATTCAAAAGTAATTTTATTTCCAAAATTCTGGAGTCCAACTCTATCCAATTAATCAAGTTGTACCAAATATAGTACCATTTAGCTTAATTCTATATTCTAAAAGCAACCATTATTCCAAATTTTAGGTTTCCAGCTCTCTCCGTTCACCCAAATCCAAATTTTACCATATGAAGTTCCGTTTAGTACTTTTCGTACACAAATACGAATTTCCACAGA